TGAACTTGTAAAATTAATATTTGATGGTGCTAATGTTAATGTTCGGGAATGACAAGAATTTGTTGATGATTTCCAAAATGGTTTCCAAGAAGAAAAATAACTTTTAACGTTCTGCATTAAAGAGATAATATTAATATCAGATGTTCAAAGTAAAGAAAAATAAAATGATCTAAAGTAGTAACATAATCATAAGATAATGTTCAGTAAAAGAGAAAGAAGAAGAAGACGCAGAAAAATAAGTAATATAGCAAGGTTCTAATCAAGATTATGTAATATTCTTATACATACAATCTGAATTGCAAATGGTGTTACTGTTCTATTACGAATGTCAGTCATCAGTACGACTATGCTATCAAATTGGCTGTGAAATTGCTTGTTCGATTGGGATACTATTGAATATCTAGTTTGCACTAGACATTGATGGAATGAGAAAAGAAAATCATAACTATTGATTATCTTTCTATATTCTCCAATCATTGATTTTGCTTTTACTAATCACTAAACTATTCTTAATCGTCTTTTCTATTAAGCATATATAGAAAAATAACATAAAAACTTACCGAATATAGACTATTGTCTATCAAAAATGCCAGCTATATATTTGATGATCAAATGACTTGTATTGATAATTTTTGCTTGTCTGACGAATGCGGGTCATGTAAATAGGAGAGTCTCATTCTCTCTCGTTCTCATCTAATTGTCGTCGTTGGTACCATCTCTACGACTATAGAGAGTCTGCAATACGCAAGAGAAAGCGTCGATGACGACAATTCACTAGGGGGAAAAAAAAAGAACGAAGCGAGAGAAAGACAAGTTCCTATCATTTCTTTATTTTTATATATATATTTTTCTCTCATTCGATCTCTTTGTCATCTTTCATTCGTTCTTTAGCAATATTATAAATTCAATATAAATATTTGGAATCGACAAAGTGAAGATGTGATCATGATGTATTGAAAATTAGAATATTCTAAATTAAAAAACAGAAGTTTATTTATTGAATATGTTCATTTTCGAGATTAACTCCATTCGTTTTTTTCTTTTTATCATGATATATATCTATTTGTAATAATACTAAAAAATTCTTAATGATATATATAAGATGTTAGTAATTGATATTTATCTTATATCTATTGTTTAATAAATTAAGAATAATTGATGACATGTAGAGACAATAAACTATTTTGTTTCGTTACCTTCTGTGATAAGTACATTGCAGTAGCAAAATTTTCTTTTCCTTCTTCTATTACAGTACCTCGTTCGTCATTTCTTTTCTTGTAACCAGATGAGTTCTATCTAACGAATGTGATTAATCAATGCAAATATATTCTACTCGAGTGAGCGTCATCGTTACGGCCAAGGATTCTTCACTAATAATGCTGCCAGCAACTGATGGAATGTTGACTTTTGTAACGCTATTTTTTTTTGTTGAGAACGGATGCACATGCAATCGGATACATACATACATCCTATATAAATTTATTCTAGTTATTTTGATGATGGGCCTAGGCTATCGACAAAACGTATACATAAACCGATCTCTTATTGCACACTTATTCAAAAGGAGAAGAAGAAAAAAAAAAGGGGAAGAGAATAGTGAGACAACCGATGATGCCGTTTCCTTAATAGATTTTTCCGATTTTCGTCGTTCGTATTTGATCAATGCTAAAGAATATACGGACGCATGCATTTCTAATGTCAGATACGCTGTGCAACCTCATAATCAAATTTATTCTCGCTTCGCAAAGCTCATCTGCATTTTTTTTTTCTCTATCTGTAATTCGTCAAGCTAGAAGAAAAAAAAATATACCATTAATTGGACTCATGTAGTATGATGAACACTTGATAAAAATTTAAAAATTGATAGCATTTATGTGAATATATATATATTTCTTCGTCGAAAAACAAAACAACAAATACGTAATAATAATCACATCATAGTCACTTGATCATCAATTGACATGGACAGGAAATCAACAAGCGTGTCAGATGGTCTTGTCTATCGACATGTCGAAGCTTGTCACTGTTGACCGACTGTCCTTTTTCTTTTCCTTTCGGCCATAAGAGTATCGATAATCTAATTCTAACATACTCGTTTTTATGCTTTTTCTCTATGGACAAGCACGTACAATGTTATATGACATCGAAGATAACGAGAAAAAAATGATGTGTGACTACATTAATAGATGAAACTGCCATACATTATTAAACGAAAGACATAAGTTCATAGCTTAGAAAAAAGAAAAAGTCAAATTGTGTAATAAAGCAAAAGAAAAGCGGAAATCGATTTTGATAGTTGGAAAAAAACAATTATTTCTTCTTTTTATGATTAAATTTTTCATTTTGTAAATAAAATTGTGCTCACTAAAACAATCAACTGATCTGATATGAATGAATAAAATAAATTAGTGTTTTTATCGAATACTATAATTTGATTTTCGATGGTTTAGTTAAATTAATTATTATTAAATTTTTGCCTATGATAATTCTATTTGTTTAATTAAATATTTGGTTTATTCATAGAAATCGAGGTGTTGCGAATAAAACTTTGAAAATATCTCTATGTCTTGATTGTTGCAACAACGATAAAAATTAACTTTTATCACAGATTCAATTGTTTTCTTGAAGTAGAAGTATATTTCGGTCGAAATAAAATTAAATCGGTATGATACAAAGAAATTTTTATAAAAATCGTTTGTTTTTAATGCAGAATATCAATTTTTCTGAACTTTTGTAGTGAAACTAAATATTCGCATTTTTAAAAATTATTGTTTCTGTTTTGGTTTTAGAATTTTGAAGTTCATTTGTCTTATTAAAAGAAAGGTAGCAAGATTTTATGAAAATCAATGCACAAAATGAAGTTTTCGAGAAACAGATGTAGAAAAATGATTTTTTTTTTTCTTCATGTATATCTTAATTTATTTCAATTCTAGTCTGATTGTCTCAATTCTCATTAACAATGTGACAGTTTTGAAAACAAAGAGATTATATTGTTAATTTAAAATATAAAATTCATTATAATATTTTATTTGTTGTTGTTTAAATATGATAAAATAGTACCTAACATATCTGTTAATTTATGCTCAGAATGTAATAATATCAAAAACAAAAATAAGATAAAAGTTTGTATTTGACAATTTTCTCATGGCTAAAACAAAAAGAAGAATACCAATTGAAAAAAAACAAAGGACGTTTTTAATTCTAATAAAATTTTTATTTATTGACAATAGTAAACAAAAGTAACATGAAAATGATACCTTGAATAAAGATAAAACAGTTCAATAATGAATACAATCGAACGTGTCTTTATTCAATCTATCAATAGTTTATTTGAAAGTACAAAAATTACAGATCTTCTTTTAATTAATTGTGACACTGATACATGTTGGTTTTGAATTACTTGGTAATATATTAATTGTTCGGTTTGTTACACCTGTTTCACAGTTTCTTTTTCTTGACCAGAAATAGAAGTTGATCACATCTATTGCAACAAAACTCAATGAATACTGTGAGACTCACCTATGTTGATATAAGAAAGGGTGGCATGTCTCTACATGATTGCATTTCTGATAGCCAAATCGAAACTTGAAGGTCTTTTAACATTCATAGAATATGCACTTACATATATTCAAAACATTTTTTATGATAACACTTTGTAGTATAAATAGTGGCAAAAAAAGTATTCAAATTTAATCAACTTATTTCTATATAGTTAGAATTGGTAAGTGATTGTGATATTGATTTGTATGTATAAAAATAAAATAGAATGTTTATCTTTTTATTGCATGAAAAAGATATTTGATGAGAGTGATTTGAGACCGATATTTATTGTAATAGAAAAATATTATTTGCATCAGTAAATTTTAGATAATATTTCAGAGATTTTTGTATCGTTCGTGTTTGAACTATATGGTAAATCTTTGCATATTGTTAATAACTTCTAAACGTTTGATTTTTCGTATCATAAATCATTCTTTGAAAATATTTGTCTTATATTTATTATTAACGTGATCATAATGAACCTGCGTTTATAGGGATAACAGTTTAATATTTTATTGTATGCTCCTGTAAAGAAGGGCAATCTGTAGTTCTTTTTTTTAAGATGAGGGAATTGATGAAATAAACGATTCTAATTTATTGAAAATCTATCAATACTTAACTTTTATTTCTATATATTATAAAATATTGATAAATTTTCATTAATTTAGGTTGTTTTTTTTTTATTCGTTGTTATATTAATAATAAACTTCTCAGATAAGAAAATGATTAATGATTGTCGTAAGTGTTCTTTTCCGATTTGTATTATATCTTCACATTTCTTTTCAATACAATAAACTGTTTAGGATAGATCACAATAGAAGTATTGTTACTATTATAATTTGCTCAATAAAGTATGAATAATGTAAAAATAGACAATAGAACAACTCAAAAGCACGAATGATTAGAGATTTTATAATATGATGTCTTAAAGTATGAAGTTAAATATTTATTTTCTATATAAGATCAAGTTTATAGCTTTTAATACTTGAGATAAAGAGTGACAAGATATCATAGACAAATTGTTCTTCAATTTTTACATTACTGATGTCATACCATGATTTTTTGTTGTTTTGCATATATGTAGTATGATTTTTCTTGATATTATTTTTTTTATTTTTTATATATTTTAATATTGGAACATACGCACCAGATGTTTTTTATTAAGTATATATAAGTTAATAATTGTTCTGATTCTTTGTTTTTACCGTTAATTAAAAAAAACGAACGCAGTAATGAAGATCAAGCCACGTTTTGGTATTTCTTTAAGATTTATTAGTCGCATTTTCTTTCTATTAATCATTGCTATAGTTGTTTTATTGATGATTATATTGTGTATTAGAACTGTACTAAAATATTTCTACGATTCATCTGCATACAATAAATTAAGTTTTATACAATATAATCCTTCTAACCGAATGTCAAACAATAAAAACTCAATTGATAATAAAAAAGATAACACTATGAAACAAGAACTACCATTTATTTATAAACCTTCATCAGAATCAAGTATATTACGAGCTCTTCTTGTCTTTTATCCAACTGATCAAGATCAAACATTTCAACCTGAATTTCGATGGTTATATCGTTCATGGACTGAAATGATGACATATGAATCATCATTATGGAGAACTGATTTAATTGTTTATGCTAATGAATATGTATCACTTTTTAAAGATCTTGATTGTACATATGATCAAATACGTAACGATTCAAAAGAAAAACCTAAATGTCGTGTTTTTCCTTATATTCGTATTAAAGATCGTCAATCAAAACATGAACCCTCAAGTAAATATCAATTTATTGATAACCAAAATTCAAAATTACTTCATGAACATTTACGAACTTATGGATATATAGATTCAATTAATACAGTTTTTGAATATTATTTATCATTTTCTATGTATGATTATATTCTTCGTACAGATATGGATTGTTTTTTAACACATAATTTTGCTCATTATGTTCCATATAATAATTCATTACTTGTTGGTCGTGGTGGTTATTCTACAGCATTTAATAGTAAACGATTAAAACGTATTGCTCATAATATGAATTGGACATATGCAGATAAAAATAGTCTTGGATCAACTTGGTAAGAAATTCTACAAAGAAAATTCAATTTACTATTTTTGAAAACCATCGATATAAATGTATTAACAAAAATTGATTGAGTGACTAGTTGATATGTAGATATATGAATATGATTTACGATTAAAATCATTCCTTGTTTTTAATATATAGACTCAAATAAAGAGTAGCTCAGGAGTCGTGACTCATAATCATATAATAAATATTGTCGTAGAATTATCTTTATAGAGAAAAAAGTACAGCAAAACGTGCTGTTGAAACTCAATATTAGTTGATTTCTCTCCTTCATTTAGTAAGAAAATTATTAGTCTAGATATGCCTATTACACTTAAAAGCAAGTAAACCATCTATATATTAATTATTTAAAATGAAATAATAGACTATGTATAAGTCAAGCAATCAATATGCTTTGCAAAATCACTTTGCAATTGTTTTATCATTAATTGAATATCTACTATTGTAATTGCATATAGCTAGTGTCATGAGTTAATTCTATCGTTGAAAGAATCCTATCTAAGAAATAATTAACATTGCCGCTGAATGACATTCATATGGAAATTCTTTTCTTTTGCATCCAGAAATCATTAAGACGGAAAATTGATCACATACTAAGATGAAAATTAGTCAAATATCGATTAAAATATGATACAATAGAAGTTGTCAGAACGGAATGATTTACCAAAGCAGTCAAAGAATTAATACATTGAAAAACAACTATTAATGCAATCTTTGCAGGATTAAAATGTAAAACACGATATAGTTGCTGTTGTTAATCATCAACATATTGGTTTTTTTCTATTTATTTTAAGATACATTTCTTCGCCATCCTTTTACTTATCTCTCTAGAAATGTAATAACGAAGTACTTCATAGATTATAATGAGACCTTATTGATATACGATCTGTTATTGTATATCATAGTGTCTGTTACTGTCTGTGGTGGTGTCTGACAAGCGTCTGACATAGTTTGTAAGAGAAGGATGTGTCCAAATTGTTATTTTTGTACTTCAACACTTCTTTAAGATCATGTTTCGCAAATAGTCAAAGTCAAAGAAAAATATGTATAGAGTTACAATAGTAGATAAACAATGAATCATAGAATAATTTCAAATATGTCTGTTATTTCATTTTGAATAATTAAAGTATAGATGTTGACTTTGGTTGTCAACATAATAAACATTTGTCAACTAATAACTTTCTTATGCAATGAACAATAAAAATCAATTTATAATCATTTTCAACAATATATTTTACGGGACTTTTTTTCTCGATAAAGATAGTTCGATAATAATATTTATTAATATGGAAATATTTATTATATATGACACGAGTCACGACTTTTCCTAATTAGTATTCTTTACATTCGATCTTCAAATATTCTAATTTCTGAATTTTTTGTGATAGATTCTACAAGCAGTAGGACAACAAAATATTAGCACATACAAAAATTTTCACATGTACTCATTCATTGAGAGTTAACGGGTATATCACTGAAAAATGAAAAAAAAAACAGATTGTCGAATAATTTATTATTTCAATTGAAAAGAGAACAAAAATGATAAATAAGATATTATAATATCAATCAAATATTTATTAGGTATGGACCATCATCCATGGCTCATCGTTTAGCTAATTATACATTGCAAGCTATGTTATATCTCAGTATTAATGAGTTTACTACACCAGAAAGAGAACAAAAACTAGGCGTTATGGTTAGTTTTTTTTCTTATTGAATTATTTATTTTCATTGTTTTTCTTTTTATGTCAATCATGTTCAGCTTTGGCCTGAATGGCATTATGGTGTTCTTTTATTATATGGTGGTCATTTAGCTATTAATCATCTTATTGCCAGTGAAAATTTTAATATAGGTCTTGCTGATCAATTATTAGATCAAGGTGTAACATCAAAGGATAAAACAGATATTGATAAAAATCTTCGTTTACATCTTCACTGTTGGCATGGAGATGAGCCATTTTCGAAATTTGCATTCAAAGCAGGAAAATACAATGTTATACAACCATCTAGCTTAATTTCAGATACATCAGCATCCGGTTACGTGAGTATAATATCAAGTTGATATTTAAGATATTTCATTTATTTACTTATTTTTTTTCATTTTAGGCAATGCGAATAGCATTAGAATCTAAATTAATGACACTTGAACAACTAAAACAAAAATTGATTGATATTAAAAAATGAAGTTTTGGTTGATTTTTATTTTTGTTGAAAAATTAATTTGACAATATTTGAGTTATGTTATAATAAATTAGCTATTAAAAAAAATTCATATAATCTACTTATAAGAACATGATGTCTTTGTAACATTAGATAATTTTTTTCATTAATTTTATTGATGTTTGTCTTTAATGATAATTT